GGAGAACCACAAACATCAGGTTTTATCGCCAGCACAGACTCTCAGGACCAGACTGGGCAGCTTCCCTTCCCAAGACAGGCCATGGTCTCCGGCCTTGGTACCCTCTGTGCACTGAGGCTGCACTGGGTGGGGGGTAGGGATTGTGGATGGATTCGTAATGAAAATCATCAAGCCAAAAAGCCAGAAGGGACTCTGGGAGCAAACTCCCAGGGCCCAGCAGGGCAGTGGCCACAATCCCTCCAAGGAGCCTTCTCCAGCAGGCTGAGGTGGTCCGTCGTAGGGGAGATGTCATCCAGGGTCTCCAGTGAGCTCTCGGCCCCTGAAACACCTGCTGACCAGCATGGTCATTTGTCTGCTCATTATTTCAGGTGTCTTGGGGTCTTTCTTATATTTTAGTGTGCGTGTGCTTGCGTGCATGGGGAAGGGACACATGCTACCAAACACAGAGAAACCAGAGGACTTGTGGGAGTCAGTTCTCTCTTCACCATGTGGGTCCCTAGATACTAAATTCTGGTTACAGAGCTTGGCATCCTAACCTGCTGAGCCTTTTCACTGCCCCATTCTTTCAGCCAGTTATTGGTTCTTTCATCCCTGTGTCTGGCTCTCTGGGGGCCAATGTGTCCCCTTTGCCCTCCAATCCCTGGCAACAGAATTGGAAGCAGATTGACAGTGATGGGCACATAAGAGGTGGAGCAGTGCCAGAGAGGATGCCAGAGTACAGAGAGACTGCCAGTGCCTTGCAAAGGATGAAGCTCTGAGGGCTGGCTCAGGAGCCATAGGGGAGCAGACAAGGCCGTGCTGTAGCAGAGACCCAGCACTCCAGGCCAACTGGTCCTGCAGGGCTTCAGCTTCTTCTCTGAGATGGGCTGCTATGACAAACTGATGCTTTGAGAGGAGCATCCTGACCTGTGGCCTCATGCAGATCTGAGGTCAGCATATGGGATTTCTTCTTGTCCACCTTGGGGCAGCTAGGCAGAGGGGTCTCATGGCAGGTACCCATCTGGCTGGTCCTGGTGCTGGCAGGCAGAGGTACCACTCCAGGAGAACAGCTTGAGCTACAACACAGACAGGAAGCTGCATACACCACTACACAGAGCTCTAGAGTTCCTGGACATGGTTACTGGCTCAGGGAAGTAGCCCTTGACCAAACAACCCAGGTCACCGTGGAAACCAGGGAGTAGATAGACAGGGCAGTGGTTATGGCTGCAATAAAAAAGGGGTGAGTGAATGCACTCTCTGGGAAAGAGAAGCCCTTTACTCCATGCAGCCTGGGTTCTCTAAGATAGAATGCACCCTTATGCCCCAAGACCCTAGTCAGTCTCTATTCCCTCTGACCCTGACCCCTAATTTTAGTCCCAGGGCCTTGCTGTACCTCCACCCTAACCCTGTACCCCATTCCTGACAGCATCTGTTCTGGTCCCAACTGGCTCTCTCCTTCCCATCTATAGGGTTAACTACCCTGAGTATTCTTCCTGCTCCCTGCTCCCCATGAGACCCCAGGATCAGAACTGTGAACCATGACCTCAGAAATGACACTCATGTAGTTCCACCCCAGAGACGCTCAGTGTGCAGACCGTCCCTTAGTTTAGCTAAGAGCCACTGCTGATCCTCTGTTCTGCTTCTCTTTGCAACCACATGACCCCCTGCCTGTAGGCACAACCAGAAGCCTGAGCCCTTTCCCATTTCAGTGTGCTCTGCACTCTGACCTCTGCCCTCTGCACTCTGCACTCTGCTCTCTGCCCTCTGCAGTTCTCTCTGAACTTCACTTTCCCCCTCAGACACAAGCACTTCTGAGCTTTTCTGAGCAAGCACTAACTGAGGAGAGAGAATGACAGACGTTGACACCTAGGCTCAGTATAAGTCACAATTCAGTGAAAGCCTTCTCCAAAGAGGTGGTCAGGAGGGAGAGGACATAATCAGTCAGTCCCAGGCTATTGAGAGACATTGGGTTCTGACAACTAGACTTCATACCTTCTTCTATGGGTCTCAAGAATACTTCCTCACCCACCCATACATGAGGTAACCTAGACCATACCTGGACTCCCCCTAGTCTCCCCCTATCCCAAACACTGAAACCACCAGAAAAAAAAAAAAAAGAGGAACTTCAGGAAGCGTCCCGTGTCAGCCAGTTTCAATCCTGTTCTTAGTCTGTACTGGGTTGGAGAAGTGTGGCATTCACACCTCTGAGTCAAGGACTGTGAATCCTGGAAGGATGACACAGAGCTCAGAGCTGAGCTGTTAGTAGGTCTGTGCCAATGCAAGAAAAGCAGCCTTCATCTTCTCAAGGCCTCACATGTGAGTGTGGTCAGAAGAGAAGCTGGAGGGAACCATGGCCTAGGGATAGCACCAGACATTTCTATTCCTAATGGACAAGCAGATCGTGGGAGGGTGGGACAGAGTTGGCAGACCAGCCCCAACGGAGGGGCCACACTGTTACAGAGAGAAGGTCCCTGCCTGCAGCTGGTGTCAACCAGGAAGATTCCAGTGATTCCATGGCCAGCACAGACAACAATGCTGTGCCACCACAGACAACCAGGGTAAGCCTCAATGATTTGATGGGATAGACCCAGAAACCTGAGGGATAGAGGCTGGTGGACACAGGACAGCCAAGCCAGCAGACAGCAAGGGAGAACAGAAGCCTACAGAATTGAGAGAGTGGGTAAAAAGCAATTGGGGAAGTATGGGGTGTTTATAGGGCTCATCTGAGAAGGCTGATTCACTTCTTAGAAAGAGCTAGAATAAGACTGGATGCCCTGGAGTTGAGGGATCAAGCCCAGAACTGGAGATCACATTCCAGGAACATCTATGAAAGAAGGAAAACTGCACAGGAGAAAGCCTGCCAGAGGAACTGTAGGGATCAGACAGTACAGCTGCAGGTGAGCTGGAAAAGGTGAGAGTACTGGAGATCCACAAAAGCTCCGAAAGCTCAGGGGACCTGGCAGAGCAGCTGTGGAAATCTGGGACTGCTGAGGTTCAGGGAGAATCAAGCCAAACAAGTACAGGTAAGCTGGGGCTGATGGAGGCCTGGGAAACAAGCTAAGGAGATACAGGGTAGAGGAAGGAGTTGTGGTGGGTGAGGTTAACAGGGGTTCAGGGCACCCCCAGGGACCAGGGAAAGCTTTACAGGAGGTTCAGGGCTGATAGGAGTTGGGAGCGCAAGCTAAGCATCTATAGAGATTCTGTGACAGCTGTCAAAGTTTGGATCCCAGCACAGCCCTAGGACCAGACCCAGCAGCTGTGGGGGAGTCAAGGCAGGTGTAGGTGTGAGGGACCAGTCTGAGTTGGGGAGCTAGGAGCTGGGGAACAGTGCAAAGCTGGGGGCAGGCAGTCCCAGGACCTTTGGAGACAAAATTGTCCAGCTACAGAAGAGATGGAGCATGAGCACTAGGGGTTTGCAAAACCCAGTAGCTCCAGAGACTATGGCAGAGCAGTTACTGGGGTCTGCAGAAGATGAGAGTGCTGGAGTGATCGCCCCAGCAGCTCTAGGGACCAGGCCAAGTTAAAGGGAGAGTATAGGGATGCAGTGGGAGCAGCTACAGGAGGTCTAAGGTAGATAAAAGCTGAGCAAGGTAGCCCCAGTGTGGGCAGCTCCAGGGGAATCAGGACTGGTAGAAGGGACCAGACTCAGTAGCTGTGAGGAAAATAGGGCTGGTAGGAGAATGAGAGTAGAACCAGCAGCTGTGGCGGTGCCTGGGGCTGGTGGGTTGTGGGGGAGCAGCCCTAGCAACTATGGGGAGCTGGGGCTGGTGTGCTGTGGGAAAGCAGGGTA